CTTCTTGTTCGTGTGTCTGTTCTTGCTGTGTTGCTTCTTCATGCCGCCCTTCACGTTGTTCGTATGCAGCGTCTTGCTTCTATCACACGAATATCCAACGCTGTAGTGGTCCAAGTCGTCGTTGTCGTCGTCATCATCATGGTTGTCATGGTCGTCATCATCGTCATCATCATGGTTGTCATCGTCGTCATCGTCATCAGCACGATCGTCACCATCGTCGCCATGGCAATGGTTACCATAGTTGTCATCGTCATCATCATCATCATCCTCACCACCATGAAGGCCCTTGGTGGTGTGCTCCTTGCTACCCAAACCAACGCTCGTGGCGCTGATGTCTCGTTCATGTATCTCGTTGCGCAGCGGGGCCCGTGTTAGTTCTGGCTTCGGGAGGCACGTGTGGAGAGGTGGGGTGTCGTGCGAAGCCAGCATTGTGTTCATGTGCAGGTCGTGATTGGTGAAGGCACTGTGCTTTGGTTCTGGATCCACCACGTTGATGTGGTGGTCATCATGGCTGGCGGTGGCATGGCTTGATGTTCCAGCGCTGACAGCAGGCTGCGGCGCGTGAAGCGACAGCGCAAAGGGCTGCTGATGCTCCTCCATGTGCACATGAGCGCCGTGGCCAGTGTGCGTGGTGTTGTGCGAGTTGTTGTACAAGGAGTTCGTTGGCGGGTGGCTGTGGTGCGCACTCACTTGTGAAGAAGGACCAGGTATTGCCGCTGTGACTGTTGTAGGTGGTGCGGATGCGAGAGAAGCGTCGACACCACCAAGCTCAGCGCTGTCGTGTGTGGCCGACGTTCCTGTCTCTGCTCCAACACCATCTCCCTCAGCCATCGCGCGTGTGTTGTTGTGTTGTGTGTATTGTTGTGCGCTTCGTTTGTGTGCGTGGTGCGTGTGGGTACATTTGAAATGTATAATCTCTGACCCCACAGGCATCAGACATGGCCGTGTGGCCCAATTGGATAAGGCGCCTGACTACGGATCAGGAGATTCGGGGTTCGAGTCCCTGCATGGTCACATTTTTTTTGTTCGATTGTCTTCTGCTTTTGTTGCTCGGCGCAGTGTTCGTCTTCGCCTTTGCTTGGCCACTCATGCATGCATGTGTGTGTGTGTGTGTGTGTGTGTGTGTGTGTGTGTGTGTGTGTGTGTGTGTGTGTGTGTGTGTGTGTGTGTGTGTGTGTGTGTGTGTGACATGACAGCTGCATTAATCTGCAATTCGCTTTCCTCTGTCTGTGCATCCTCCCCTTTTCTGGTTTACTCCTCTGCTCACCAACACCGAAACAAGCATGCAACAACACGACACTGGTCGCCGAGGAGCACTCAATCCATCAATCAAGCCTTGAATGAATCACTGCTCTGGGAAGCAGCAGCAGCAGTAGCAGGGTCGTCGCGCTTGCGTGCAACCTTGCACGCCTCCTTAAAGTCGTCTGGTACCAGCGAATTGAGCGCGCCCTCAAACGTCTGCAGGCGGTGTGGGAGGCATGTGCATGCAGACAGCAGCAGCACACGTTTGTCAATGTCACAAGCGTAGTCCACAATGCAGGCATCACCCGAAGCGGGGGAACTTAAAATGCACTCACACTCAAGACCGCATTCACGACAACGCCGTTGACACACACACACACACACACACACCACCACCACCACCACCACCACACACACACACACACACACGTCTGGTCTCTGTACCTTGTAGGAGCAGTAGTGGTCGGTGGCCAGAGGGAGACGCTGCGGCTCGCCACAGTAGAGCACGCGAACATAGTGGTCGTCAACGCTGTTTTCATCGCGATACAGCTCGATGCAAATGTCTGCGGCAAAGGGTGGCCACTTGCCATCAAAGATGCCAAAGCACAGCAGCATCGGCAGCAGCGTTGTGTCGTGGCAGCTAAACATACGCCTGGGTTGCATGTCATGCGTGTGTGTGTGTGTGCGTGCGTGTGTGCGTGTGTGTGAATGAGTGTGCGTGTATGCATATGAATGCGTGGGGTTGAGGAGAAGCAACAGTTTGTTTTCTGACATGAAGCAGTTCCACCGTGCGAGGCGTGGCTGACATCGCACATGCGTGGTTGCGCCTGGGTTGGGTCCTGGGCGCTCTTGAAGTGACTCAACATGTTCTGTTGATACACGATGCGATCGGTACACGGCATGAGAGGACCAAGACAACCGGGGCATACGACGAGTCCCCCACAAGCGCGCAATCAGATTAAGAGGCGGCATGTCACAACCGCAGGCAACTCAGAGACAAAGACATGAACACCACACGCAGCTGCGATCACCCTCCGCCTTCAATACACACGTCAGGGCACCTTGAGGAGCAGGCCGCAGCTGAGCGTGAGGGATTCCTTCTGGTGGTACTTGAAGAGAGACACGACATCATCAACGGCGTATTGGTCCACGGCCTTGCGGACAGAGCCATCAAGGAACGCTGGAACCTCCTGACGTGGCAGTCAACAGCACGTGGGGACACACACCTGGCTCGTGTGAGGACCAGCAGTCCATCACAGCAGCGGTCACAGCACTATCAACAGCAGAAGCGCCAACCAACGACGCCAGCAACAGCACGAAGAATCACAGGGCCAGTTCCACCTCTCCATCCCCATCTCATCACCCGCTTCTCTCGGACACTGCCTCGTCTTGGTACAGTGCGCACACACGTGCCTTGCTGTGGGCGTGGCGAGCAACGAGGGCGTCGCGAATTCCGACAAAGTGGACCTCTTTTCCGTCCACGCGAAGCAGCGACGCCAGCTGCAGGTCAACGTGGCAAATGCACGCGAGCGGGAGGTGAGGGAGCGTGGTGTCCGTACCATGCACTCGTGTGTGTGTGTGTGTGTGTGTGTGTGTGTGTGTGTGTGTGTGTGTGTGTGTGTGTGTGTGTGTGTGTGTGTGTGTGTGTGTGTGTGTGTGTGTGTGTGTGTGTGTGATGTGGTGTGATGTGGTGTGTTGACGATTGAGCAAGGTGCAAGCTGTGGGACGGGAGCTTACTCTCTGCTTCAGCTGCTTTGCGGCGCTGTGGCGGTCGGCCTCCCGGTTCCTGCAGGATTAGCGCGGCAACAACGTGCAACGAATAATTAGTGAAGAGACACACCTAAAGAGAATACACACATACATACACACATACACACATATAAGAACATACACACACATACATACACACACGTACGCACACGTACACACACACACACACTCTCAAAGTTGCGTACTTGCGGGCTTCGACGAAGAGCTCACGGAGGCGCGGGCAGGCGCGGGTGTTGGGCGTAAGAAACTCCTCTTCCACAGGAATGGTGGTCACGTGGGCATGCATGCCTACACCACACATGCACAGCGGTGAACGGCACGCAGTGGTGAAAGGCAGAGGAAAAGGGGGGATAGCGTGCGCGAGGGGGAGAGACAGAACGTGCGCGTAAGGAAGCAATCGGATGCAACGTACACACACACACACACACACACACACACACACACACACACACACACACACACACACACACACACACACACACACACACAGACACCTTTGGTGCCGTAGAGGCCCGAGATGACGAGTCGGGCAGTCTCGATGGTGCGATCAAAGTTGGTCGACCGAACTGCTACATCCTGCGGTTGATACATGGACTGCATGCCAGAGGGGAGTTGCAACAGAGCAGCGTGAGCCGTGGTCACACATTGTTGGTGCACATCACCACAACACTGCACACTGCTGCCAGCGAGCGAGCGAGCGAGCGAGCGAACGCATCGTGTGCGTGCGTGTGTGTGTGTTTGAGTGGTTGAGTGTTTGAGTGTGTGTGTGGGTGTGTTTTGCTCTACTGTACTCCTGTACTCCTGTACCGGCAGGAAGTGAAAGGCGTCCATGTACTGTTCCCTCAGCCGCTGTCCAAGCGTAAATGCTTCATGTCTCCCAAGCAACGTGAGGCATCCAATGTGGCAGCCACCAGGAAGGCGTGTTTGTTTCTGCAAGACAAGCAGGCAGGGGGACAGAAAGGGTGGGGGGAGTATTGACACACACACACACATACACACACACACACACACACTCTCTCTCTCTCTTTCTCATTCACACACAACACACAACACAAAACACACCTGGCGCATATTGGCTGCACAGATTGGTCGGGGTTGGTTATCTGGCCCCGTGATACGCAGAGGCCGCTCAATGTCTGGAAGTGCAGCGCAGAGGCGTTCGTCCCAGTGCTCCTCGTCCACCTCCCCGGGGATGGCGTGAATTGGAGTGCGTGCACCGTGGCGGAAGTACGCTTGCACCTGCACCAGCCGCAGCGCTCGCCCATCTTCCAAATGCACCGTCGATTTGTCCTGATCAACAACCTGGCCACCCCGCGATCCCCGCGATCCCTGTGATCCCTGGCTCCCAGCACCATCGCTGTCATCACTCGCTGTTGTCGTCACTGCTGCAGCCGCAGCTGCAAGCGGCACAGACGTGCCCAGCACCGTCACTGTTCCAACCACTCGCCGCCACCACATCATCTTTTGTTTGGCTGTGACAGTCGAGTAAAAAAAATACAGAGGTCACCGGTTGGAATCCTCTCTTCACGCGTCATTGTATTTTTCAACACCAAAGTCACGTGTTCCAACCAAGAAGCAAAAGCAGCCAAGCAAAGCCAAGCCCAGAGACCAAGCAGCAAACAGCAACCATGGGAGGCAGCAACCCTTCAGAGTGAGCTAGCCGTGCACGTGTGTGGAATGAGCCATGGTGGGTTGCTGTTGTTTTGCATACGCATGCGTGTTGCTCACAATTGGGGTGATTTCATTGCTGCTTGAACACTTGTTAGGCAAGATCGCTATGAGACGGTCCTCAAGCGGCGAAAGAAGAAGGATCGCGCCGAGATCCTGCAGGCACAGAAGGCTGCCAAACAACAACGGGTACGTGCGTGCGTGTGTCTGTTTGTGTGTGTGTGTGTGTGTGTGTGTGTGTGTGTGTGTGTGTGTGTGCGTGCGTAACGTACGTGTGTCTGTATGTGTGTGTGTGTGTGCGTGCGTGAGTGCCTCTATGT